ACAAGAAGGAAAACTCGAGCCCAAAGGCAAAGCATGTAAGCACTACAAGTCAGATCTGCAGCAGAAATATCAGCTGGGCTACTGCAACTGAACATCTGCATCCTCTACAATTGCAAATGCAAACACTAAGACTCGAGTTTTTCACTTTGGACTTAAATACTCTCAAAAATCAGTAGCTTAACTCCCCATCTAAGAAAAAGATCAATTGCTGCAGTGGTGTGATAAAAAAAGGCTGGTATCTGTTTCAAAAGCTGTATAGAATCTGAATCACAATTACAGAATGGTAGGGGTTGGAAGGGACCTCAAAAGATCATCCAGTCCAACCCCCCTGCCAGATCAGGACCACGTACAGCAGGTCACATAGGACTGTGTCCAGGCAGGTTCTGAATGTCCCTGGAAAAGGAGACTCCACAACCTCCCTGGGCAGCCTGTTCCAGTGCTCTGTCACCCTTAATGTAAGTTTTTCCTCATATCCAGCTGCAACTTCTGGTGCTCCAGTTCATGCCCATTGCCCCTTGTCCTGTAGCTGAGCACCACTGAAAAGAGCCTGGCCCCATCCTCTTGACACCCACCCTATAGATATAAGTGTTGATAAGGTCCCCTCTCAGTCTTCTCTTGTCCAGGCTAAAGAGTCCCAGGTCTCTCAGCCTTTCCTCATAAGAGAGATACTCCAGTCCCCTAATCATGTCCTAATTTATTTGGTAGTACTAGAAGTATCAAGCAACCACTCATGTGGAATCTTAGAATTCTTGAATTTTATATCACTTTTGATTAACAGTGAATTCATCATTACAACAAACTCAGCCCCTGAAAGTGATTACTTTAAAAACTTCTTTAATACAGATAAAAAGCGCTATTGTCAGCCTCTGCAAACTATAACATAACACAGAGCAAAGAAGCACTTGAAACAATGAGCGATCACACATTTAAGATTTTTGTATTGCAGGCTGTACTTAAATCTTGATCTGAGGCTGGGGATAGGAAATAATTTTCATGGGCACTGTCACAGAAATCTAATTTCAAAATAAAAGTTAGACTCTTCAGAAGTGTTCTTAATGGTTTTTACAGAAAGATGATGATCATGCTTTATTTTTTGGAAGAAGTTAGTTAATTTTTATTAATCAGTTTTTTTATGGACCTTACAGAGACTCAGGCTCTTTTTTAACTAGCCAATGAACACACAAAGGAGATAGACTAATCCACAATCATAAGAGCTTGCAATAGAAACCATGTAATCTGCTCAATGTTTTTCGATGTGAGGATAGTCACGTCTGCCCTTTTACTGTCCTATGCATTTAACTAGTCAGTTGCATGAGCTAGAAGTTGATCCCAATTTTCTGCTCAGTCCTGTCCCGTCCATGCTGCTTTTAAGGGTGATACACTCACAGACTTGAGCACATTCACTTCCATGCAGTCAAATTACATCAACATTTCACTTATGTAGAAAGGATGTAACATCTAGGTTCATTCACCTTTAATTTCTCCAGCCCTGGCTTTCTTATAGAGTCCTTTAACGTCTCTTTGCTCACAGACATGCAATGGAGCATCCACAAATACTTCAAAAAAAGGCAAACTTGCCCCTTCATGAATTCGTCTGGCATTATTACGATCCTGAAAGAAAACAGAAAAAAGCCCTAAAAGATTGTATCGACATATTGTTATTGTATTTCTGCTCTTTAAGTTCATTTTAAAGAAGGTGATAGTGAAATGCGGACAAGTTTTCAAAGTTTGAAAAAATAAATATGATTTGATCAACTGGTGCCCTGCAAGCTACATCGGTTTGGCTACAGTTCATCGCATGGGAAAAAGTGGAAAAAAATCAACCAAAACCAACAACAAAGCCCAGGCATAGTGCAGAACGTTCTATACCTGCCTCTATTTTAAGAGTTACATCCCCTACAGTTACATCTGCCTAGCTCACTAAAGTCAGAGGAGGTATTACCTGCTGCTCCTGATAGGACCACCCTTCTCTCCAGAGTGCCAGATCTCCCTACCTTCATTAACCTGACAAGACTTGTATACTCCAAAAATTATTTTATTTGTATGACTTGCCAAGCATTGAAACAACTGGCAAATTTCATTTAGAGAACAGAACATTTTCAAAAAATCCACTAAAACCATCTCTTACTAAATATTTTACTTCATATCTAAAGACTTCTGTTTTACTGCAAGATCTTGACTTCCTGAAATTATTATCAGAAGAATTCTTTGTACCACTATAACGAAAGAAATAAGACCTTCTCACGCTGTGAAACATCTAAGCTAGAGCCCCTGCGTCATTCTTCAAGATACCTGGTGTTCACACATCCTTTTTTTCTCTCCCATTCAAGTTCTCATACACAGACAAAAATAAGTCTTCACAAAACAACATGAACATGGACTTAGGTTCATTTTCAGTATTATCTAATGTCATGTTGTATACACAGCATGAAATAAAGTAAATGGAACTACTGGCAATTAAACATTTTTCCCTTAGGCCACCTGGTAAAATACAGCTCACATCATTCATTCACTGAAGGAAAAGCTGCTTTTAAAAACAATGTAAATGAGTCTTCAGGTTAAGTGTATACTTAGTCTTCATATTTATAAAGTACTGGAATCTACACGGGCCAATCAAGACATTGTAATTTTAAGACTCTTTCTTGGAGCATCATTTGGGTTTGTTCCTAATACTAGATTAATAATTCTGCCTAATAGACTGAAGGACAAGTCCAGTTATAGGACTAATGTAAACTTTTTTATATTTAATATTAATATTTCTGAAATTTGAGCAATCATCTCTAGAAAGCATAAATGTCATGAAAAAACAAGAAAGCATTTGATTCTGGCTAAGTTCAGCATGGGATTCCTCTAACTAAAATTCTGAGTGACATTTTCTATTTTCCCTAAACTTTATGTAGAGATTGTTCACATTTACCTGAGCATAAGGAGAGATGAAACTAGCAATGCACACCAAACCAGCATCTGCAAACAGTTTAGCAACCTCAGCAATACGACGGACATTTTCTTCTCTATCTTCTGGTGTGAAACCCAGATTCTTATTAAGGCCTTGGCGAATATTGTCACCATCCAACGTGTAGCACGGAATGCCATGGCATACTAAATACTCCTCCAGTGCCATGCTCACTGTAGTCTTCCCAGCACCAGATAGACCTAAAATATTCAACAATATAAATACTTATTATAAGCACAGAAACAAGTTAGGGCAAATTGTACCACTGCTAGAATGAAAACCCCAAAGTGTCAGGCATCAGCAGCAAGGCCTTTTGGAGGTGCTTCCCTGCAATATAAGCCAAGCACCTTTTACACAGACAATAGGTACAGGGAGAGTAAGGCACACAGTTAAGTGTGCAATTAGCAGGCAAAAGGGTTTGGCCTTGAGAGCTGCTGCCACTTATAGAGGTAGTGCACATTCCCTGGCAGTTGTTACTACCTGAGCAAACTAAATTCAGAAACTGGAGTTAAGATGCAATGTTTACATCAGAAGAGGAACATATCACACTAAAGTGAATTTCAGTCAACAAAAGAAACTGAATCAGACCAAACCATGCTCTGTTCTTACTCCTTGCAGAATAACAGCACTGAATTACACACCGCAGACACAACAAAACTCACTCAAAACTCACACAGAGTCATGCCCCACTAACCAGAGTGTGCTAGCAACGAGCAAAGACATTTTTAACCTTAAACTTTGGGCCAATTCAGAATCTTCAGCAACAAACATTTAAACAATTGAGAAGCCTGGCTGGCACTAGAAACTCTACTGTTTCCTTTAAGTTGAAAATGTATTTAAATAATTTTCTAGACTAGATTTCAGGAGTCGATCTGGAGCACATGCTTCAGCTTATACAGAGCAATCAATCCATAAATGGGACACAAACTCAAATCTTCATAAGATGACATTAATCCTTTGAGTAAGAAACAAAATATGGACAATGGTAGTCTAAAAAAATAGCACTAGTGGATGAAGAAAAATGTTTTGATCTTTTTTAGTGGAGGTCAATATTTATTCTAGCTTTCAGAAAAAGCAGAAAAAAAAAAAAAAATCACACAAAACAGCAGTTTGGTATTACTTCTAAGACCTCTACAGCAAAGGATGACAGTCATGCTAACAAGTGCGTTCTAAGAAAACACAAAGTGGAAAGGAAACCTTGACACCTGAAATAGTTTAGGGTAATTTAAAGAAGAGGAGTCATTGCATTGGTTCCTCCTTCACCCAATTTAAATATCTAGAAGATACAGAGCAGCCTACTGAAAAAATACACATATCCCAGAACAAGTCCTACATAAGAACTTAAGCCAACACACCTCTCTCAAGAAAAGCCCCTGTATCCCTCTCACAGACTTCATTATGGTTTGGCTTATACTCAAAACTCTGAAAAAATTGCAGAATTGTGAATAATGACCTATTGCCATCTATAACAATTATCTACATTTCTTGGACAACTCAAGTTTCTCGTGTCAATGCTTATCTGTCTACTTTGAAGAGAGCAACAGCTATACATGATGAAGCTGAATGTTATGACTTAGGCCAGAACCGGCTTCCAAAAGTGGAGGTCCTGCTCTCTTCCCCTACCCTCTCTCCACTCACACCACCCTACCTCTATTATTCCACCACCTCTGGTGCCCATTAGCCAACTCAGTTTGCTAATCTTTCTCATTTTTTTTTCCCCCCCTCTTTTTTTTTTTTTTTTTTCTCTTTTGTGTGTGCGTGGTGAGGCTGTGTTGAGTTCACTGATGATTTTACAAGCTGAATCAGCTCAAGGTTGGGCTATGCAGGGCAAGGACTACAGCTTATGTGAGCCAAGAGAAGGAAAGCGAGGCTGCAAACAGAACAGTTTTGTTTTGGCAGCAAAGTAAACCCCAATCCTAGAAAATAAGCATGGCAATCCAAATTAAGATTTCAGCAACTTCATTTATTTTTCTTTGATGCAGCCTTTGACTTGCAATTTTTTCCTCACATCTAGCTTGCCATTCACTCAAATGCTCTAGCTTTTCACACATCATTTGGTCTCCAACACGTAATGAAATGCAAAAGTTAAGGTTATATGATAATGAATTCTAAAAACAGCTTTTGAGCTGACAAATCTTTAAAATAACTTACGCTCTCAAAATTGCGTATTATTTTACTTAAGTAATGCCTTTCCATATTTTTGATACACTCAGGATTTTTTTTACTAGGACCCACTGTCTTGACAGCACAAGACATTCATTAGAATTTAGCTTTTGAATAAATCTTAGCTTAAAAATGAAAAGTGATCTCTGAAATAGCTTTTTGTACACTCCCACCTCACGAGTGCTGATGAGGTGAGAGAAATCTTGAAAGGAGTGTACCACCGTTTCAGCTTTTATTATAAAATGTAGCAGAATTTTGAAGACTCGTGTTGGCACCGTTCTAGAATGGGTAGTAGTGCTTACTTCAGTACCTACAGTCCATCCCACTCCCTAACATTAGTGCTCAAATATCTTCGATAACCTAGCTTCCCCCACACACCCTTCTCAATACCTTACAGCCCTCTTACTTTTCTGTGTTCTACCACCACCCTTCTTCCTCCTGAAGAAAAGGAAATTGAACATTGAGATTACATTTGTTTAAAAAGAATGACAACTGGAAAATGTTGCCATGTAGATAACCGAGAAAACATTTTTATCGTGACCTTTTCCAAAAGAACATTAATGAATCACCAGGAGAAACAGAAAGGCAGCCTACCAGATCATCTGAGCGCTGAGAGAGAGGCTGGAGCTACATGACAGAAACAGGGAAAGAAAGGGCTCCATTTTTTAACCAAAGAAACACATGACAGCAAGCTACTGCATCAAGTCTGTTCAGAATGGCTCTCAGCAATTTGTTATCAACTACTCTTTACCTTTCACACTCGTTCATTAACAGTAGTGGAAATACATTTCATTTAGTGTAGTAAGTTCTCTAATACTCTGTAAAGATCTTCTGTATCACAGTACGACAGTGCTCTAAATGGTTTACAAACTAATTAAATGACACATTTTGTTATATTTTTTTAATTTTCAGTTTTAACTGAAAAAAACTCCAAAGGAAATATGTCAAAGTTTCCAGGAACTTTAAAAGACAGAACAAAAAAAAATCTCCTCAGTTATGAAACAAAGCAGTCTTCCAGAATTTACTTACCCTGTCTTTTTACAATCAAAATAATTCAGTGGAAAAAAAACATGGTACCAATTAAAAAAAATAACTCCCAGTGTGCATTGCCTCAGCATGCAATTGCTGTCCAAAGGCATAGCTTTATGTTGAACAGTGATTTCAACCCAAGGAGACAAGATTCCAAAGAGAAGAGCCCTTTACAGAAAAGATTCAGAAACACAGACTCTCAAAAAAAAAAAAAAAAAAGGCAGCTAGGTTTCATTTGTTAACAGGCAGAATGGACAGTAAGAAGAGCCAGAATTGATTAAACCACTAAAAAAACCCACACACACTCCAAAACTCAACCAGAATTAAGCAGTGGACAGCGCCAAATAAACAGTGCTCCTAAAGCACTGAACAAAACACATTCTGAAGCTACTGTCTGTCCCAGAGCAATTTCTTGCTAGTCTACCTAAAAATAGTAAAAAAAAAAATTGCATCAAGGTCTTAGATTCCACAAACATTCAACTTCGCATGAAAGAAAGGAGCTACAGCTAAGTAGCTTTTCAGAAGAGTAACTAAAACAAAAGGAACCTCAGAGATCTGCGACTGTACCTGTTAACCAGACCGTGCATCCACGAAAACCACTTCTTGTTCCCACCACTTGGCCTCTCTTATTCAAAAGCTTGGTAGGTAACATTAGTTGCCCTCTGCATTCCCTGTAAAAGAAGTTGATTAGATCTTTAACTCCTGAAAGGGTGAGCTGGCAAAGCATACTAAAACTTATTCACAGGCACAAAGAAAGACTTGTGAGACAGACCAATGGAAGTAAAAACAATACCCAATCCATCAGCTGCAGCACAGATCAAAGGACACAAAGGAAATCAGAAAAGCCAGCCACAGAAAACCACATCCCTTGTGCTTCCTCTGTGAAACTTGGGATTGCCAGGCTAGTCGACCGCTAATTTCAAATACAGCTCACTTAAAAATCAACTATAGAGATTAACTGCTAGAGCTGCTAGACTTTACTTCTATTTAAGTCATTTAAATCTAAGATCAAATAGATTCTCTCTCTCTCCGAGCTAAACGTTTCTGTCATAAAACAGCCAAACATTGGCTAAATTTTAACTCCTCTTAAGAGGCCTTTTCATTGCAAACTATGCATGTCTGGTCCAACCTTCAGTTCAGCAGACACACCTCTAAACCATTCTGCCTTTACCTATCATATCTCCAGTCTCCAGAATTGAAACAATTATTATATATTTCAAGTGTTTAACGAAAGCACTATTTCTAAGCGACTTATTAAAGAATTTACCTTAAAATACGGGATTTTTGTAATATAATTTTAATTAAAACAAAGCTCGTTACAGACTCTCTTAAAATTATTTATTCATCATAATAAGCTGCTGTATGAATATCTTCAATAAGATTATACTGCTGTCAAACACATTTTGCAATCTAAGGTGAGGAAACCCACAGGAAGATAGCTTCAGCATTCCCTTAAGCTTTAATGGTATCTAGTTATATGAACTTTGTTCATAAAAGATCAAGACCTTAGATAACCAGACAGAGCATGAACAATCAAACAGAAGAGAAGGCTTAAAACAAAAAGAGGGGTGGGAGGGATTAGTGGTATATATAATGCTGCTTTGACTTCTCTTGCTTACAAACATGTTGCAAGGTATTTGCAATCTTTTCTTTCATCTTTGTAGCTGGAAAGGAAAGCACTTATGACATCTAATAAAAAAAAAAGAAGCAAGGATACTCATCAACGGAGTACTACCAGAGAGCTGTTCATAGTTTGAGAGAGACACCACCAAGTAGAAAACCTTCAAGAACAGCTGCTACATCATTCTCCTGCAGAAAAACACTTCAAAAGTTTATCTATAACACAATTGGAAGTTACGAATTTGTGTGATTGTATGTCCCCACAGCTATACACAGCTGTGCTCATAGTTAATACAAACAGAAACTCATGGTAGGAACAGATGTTTAAATACAACAGCTCTGTAATTCAGTGGTGACAGGCCAGCATCTAAAACTAGATGAAGCCTGAATACCAAGCCATAAGAAACCACCACCTGCAAACAGGTTATGAGCATACCAAATGAAGTTACATTTGCTGATCATGTTATCTTCAAATAAATTATCTCCTAAAACAAAGCTGGTTTGCAGACGAAGTCAGTGCAATACAGCTAACTAAAACCAGAAGTCAAAGAGTCAAAAAATCAAAACCTCTTTCTTCTTGCAGTAGAAACAATTCTGCCCTACATAACATTGGAGATCCCAGCAAGCAAATGCATAAATTACAGAATTAAAAACAACAAAGAGCATTTAAGTACTTAGCCTTCAATTAAAAGAAAAATATACTGTGCATAATGAATGTACACAGCAATTCAAACAAATACATTAATAGCAACACACTCTCTCACTAATTCCAGCTGTACTGTACTGTACCAGACACTGGATAAACAGTCTCAAAGCACAGCTCCCATGCCACTGTCCCAGTGAGCTCTTTTACATTAAAACATAAAAACACACATGCTTTGCTTTTGACTTGTGGCAATATCAGACTCAAATACTTTGGAGGTCAAATGTCTCATTCAAGGAGACTTCTTCCAGTCAGTATTCAGGAAGTTACATCAGTTTTCTTTGTTTTCCAGATCTAGCAAAGCGGCAATGGAACCGATCAGGGTATTGCACCAGGCTTACAAAACACATGAAACCCTGAGGAACCAGGCAAGAGGGATTCTTAAAATGATGAAAAAGACACAACTTTGAAAAAGAAAAAAAACCAAATCAAGTAGCAAATTAGCAGAGATGACAAATCACAGCAATGAGAAGATCAACAGATTGCTAGAGTACAAGGCACACAAGCTTAACAGAGCAGCCAGCAAGCTCTGTGGGGACAAGAATCCATCTGTACCTCAGAGGCAGGCTCCCAAGACTAAAGGTTAAAGTGCCCAAACAGTCTGCATACATTCAAAAACTAACCCATCCCCAGCAGCCCCACCCTTTGTTTATGTACGCGTGCACATAAACAAGACAGCTCTGTACTACTCCTGGGCAAAGCAGTACCAAAATCCTCCTTATCTTCCAACAGAAACCAGCTTTTTATAGAAGTGCTCTAAAGAGTCAATAATTGAGGAAGTCATTCTCTCTTGCTGAAAAACAAAAGTAATGTTTCCTAATCACATCTGCTTTGCTGCTAGATGATTCACGACCATCACTGAGCAACATAAGCTGAACATTGGATCCTCAAGATAAGTTTTTAATTACTATCCCGGATACATACACTTACTACAAATATTGATGTGGCACAGGAAAAATACTCAGGAGCAGAACTCAGTGGCTCACACTGGTTGTGCTCTTAAATTATTTAGCCAGTCTTCAAGCTCCTGTACATAAAATTTTATCAATATCAATCAATGAAATTAAATGGCCATCCAAAATGACAGCAAAAATAAAGAGCAGACATTTCCTTTTAAACTGAATCAAAGCATCATTCACCTTGCAGATCCACATTATCAATGTTATAAGAAACAAAACATAAGAAAATGAATAACAGAAAAACTCAATGTGATGAGCAAATACTCTTTAAAGAGGCTATTTTAAACTTCTTAGCCTAATTCCATTCACTATAATAGTCGCTACTGGAAGGACGCACTAGATTTTTGTTAGGGGCTAATGAAAAAAAAGGGCATTAATCTCAAAGGTCTATTTATCTGCTTTTTTACAAACATCAAAAATTTCCTCTGACTTGCCTACAAAAATATTTCCTCCACCCCATGTTACACATTAAGTGCTTCTGCAGTACTTATGCAAACATTGCATTTTAATATTTTTCCCTCCTACTCACCAAGTTAAACAGAAATAATGCTTCAGTTCACTGTGTTTCATTATAACAGTACTGTCAGCTAGGAAGGCCGACATATTCTTCCCTTCCTCTCCCCCACTATGCTAGTTTGTGTCTCACACGAAATCTGAAATGCCACAATAGGCTAATGTCTTTTTACCGAAGATGAAACAATACCAAGTATTAAAGTAACAAGCCTTTCACAGATGTGCACTGAAGAGCCGCAACAATCAGAGAGTAAGGAAGGATGACTCCATAGGTTACTTTTGGCATAAGGTAACCTTTTAGCTTTGCAGTTAGTTGCCCAGGGAAATGAACACAGACATCTAAGAACTACAGGAACAGAAGGAAGAAAGAAGATGTTGACCAAGAGGAAACACCAACTCTGTCAATTTCTCTATGTAAAGATTTGACGACATAAACGTGACCCAGATTTTTTTTTCTTATTCTATTCTTGATGTTTTGCCCAGTTGCAACTATGAAATTTTTTTTGCCAAAGCCCAATCTGACTATCAGTGCCAAACACCTCTGACATAAGAACTCAGGTCAGACATCCACATGAAGAAAAGCAAACCCAAGTTGCAACACCAATATCAAAAGATGGCAGAAAAAAAAAGATTATTGCTTAATTGTTTCATACTTGAGAGATCACTACACTGGCATAAACTGAATTTATTCTTCATTACTTCAGAGCAACAATGAAACATTGTGCTTCTACAGTCAGTTCACAACAAATTTTAACTTTTCACAAAGCAAGACCTCTGAAATAGGAAGTAAAGCTTTCAATGGCAAGCAGAGACTCCCCAGTTGACAGCACCAACTTAAGACAGCTTTGAGGCTGGAAGCACCAGGAAAGAACTGTGTGAAGAACAGGCATGGTTTCAATATGAGCCATATATACTCCAGAAGCTGTGACCAATTCCATATTCTTCTGCTCTAAGACGATGGTGTTGATTTGCCAAGCTAACAACTCCTGTAAGCTAACATCCAGCATCACCTCTGAAATGTATTTATCTTTAATGCCTTTCCCATTTCCTAATCACCTCAGATATTTTCTAGGCCATTTGCTAAGTTGCTCACCATGCACCTCTTATAAGCCAGGGGTATCCCGATAATAACACGTTTTTATTGCATTTACTCTTCAGCACCAATAAGTCCGGCAAATTACAGGTTTTTCCCCTCCAAACTGCTCTCCTCAATAGCCAAACAGCAACTCAGACTGAACATTGCCCCATTTCTTTGTCCACATACAAACACAAGCAAGGAGAACAGACGTAGTTACAACATAAAAATTCAGCTACCGTGGATGCTAAAGCATTTCACTTGAGAGTCCATTTGTTCATGCATTTAGATGAGGTTTCAAGGCCTTTTCACCAACAGATCTGCCCGGAATGCCTTCCAATAGCTACCTTCTCAAATTCTGGTTTGAAAATTTGCATTCTGATTTGGACAACTGTGCTTGGGAAAGAAGGGCAAGCCCAGAAATTATATCAGAAATGATATCTGAACAAGAAGACTTTTATAGTTATCAAAAAACTAAATTCACCAGTCCATATTCTGCCATAGCCTACAGCATTACATTTTCTCCCACTTACAACAAAATTTCTTACCTTTTTTCTCACAACGGCCCTCCAGAATGCAGCTTGCCACAGTGATACTGATACAATAAGGCATTTAAACACCTGCGCATGTGGCGCCATCCAATCTGCCGAATGCATGCCCTTCTGCCACTAACATGGACTAGCTCATCTTTCCCAGGTGTTCTAATGCTGGGAGAGTTTCAAAAATCACAGCAGCAGAAAGCAGCCAGAATCTTCCACAGTACTGTGGATACAAGGAACTTGGTGACACTTGTAATCTAGGGTGTGTATCTTCACTCGCCACCTGCTGCAGTAACAGCATGACCAACAGCAGTCAGCTTATTCACCCGTGCTGGAGCAGAGTTACTGGCTGGCATCAGAGGGAATGGACAAAAACGAGGCCAGAAATGCCTCTGCTGAATGTGCTCTCAGAAACAAGGATTGGAGCAAGTTCTCATTAGGCGTTACCTGCAAAATGATGCAACACCCCAGCCATGTCAGGAATTTGAGCTACACTAAAGAAAGTGTTCCACAAGTCCTCATATCGAACAGCAGTATTTGTGGCTATGTTGCATGCTGCTCTGCACCTTGGAGTTTGCCGTGCTCAGACGGGTGCTTGGCGAGGGGATTTCTACAGACAGAGGTGTGCTCTGAATAGTGCTGGGCAGCCAGAGAAAGTCTGGAAGACAAGGCTCTGCCCACTCTCCTCAGGGCTGCCAATTCTATCAGGGTAGAATGGGTCTCTCTGACTGCTCTCAGCTGAACAGACGCAGAGTCAGAAGTGCCAGAACATTTGTCTGTGAAGCATGTGAATCAGCAGCATTTTTTTTTCTTGGTGAAGCTTATTGGGCTATGAAGAGCATTTCAGCTGAGATCTTCTGAAGAAAAAGGGAGAAGCGGAAGACTTCCTCCGCTTGCCACGTAACATAGAGGGAGTTGCTAACCTCAACTGAACCCCACAAACTGTTAATGACAGTTAACTTTTTTTTAACCTGTAATTGTCCTGGTTTGGACAAACCCACGTCAGCTTTGCATCTGACAAATAAATGATACCGATTAACTTTTGAATACACTTTGTTACCCCCACCCAGACGTGATCTGTTTCACTGTCTTTGTAACATCCGATTTTGCCTTTTCCTCAAGGAAATTGAAAGAACATAACTTACCAATGACAGTTACATAAACAAGTTTGAACTTGTACATAGTGGAAGAGGCTTGGACAGGCCCAAGACCTACTGAACGTCTTTTAGTAGAATACCAACTTCCCTGTTTTTCAGGCAACCGTGAGACTCTTTTCTCCTTTAATAGATTCGTCATTTTGATAAGAAAGTTGTGGCCTGTACTAACAGCAAGACTTCGAAGACTGTTTTATATTGTTACTTTCATATCAAATGTTTTCTCGATCTTATCTCTCATCTGCTTCAGCTCAGCACTGTTTGAAAGAAATCATACTTTTTTTTTTTTTTCCCCCCACTCATCTTGCATCACCAAAAGTATCAAATGTTCTCAAAGGCCTGCAATGTGTCTTCTAAATAGCTGCATTTTGGTCTTCGCTGTAAGCCGACCTTCCCCCATCTTTATAAACAAGAATGAAGGCTTTGGTTAGATTTTTTCAAATCCTGTCTCGACAGTTTGCCACAGAACACCCAGCACACAAAGAACCTCAGTCTTTGGCCAGCCCAGGTTTATGAATGGCCACATTGTACAACACATTCTTCAGCCTTCCTTCTTCCAAAACGCTGGAAGCTGAGGGCTCTCGAAGGAAGAGACAGGGATGAAACCTCCAAACTCCCGGTCCCCTCCGGAGGGTCTTCCTGCCCTCCCCACTCCCCCCCCG